TTCTGATCTCTGTAAATAAGTATGAAAGACTAGAAGTACCTCTTTCTGCAACATTCGGTAGGATTTGCCAGTGAAACTATTTGAGGTGTTGTTTTCTTTAAGAGATGTTGGTTTGCTTTTAAAATTTTGTTTATTTTTGCTGATGTTCAGACTATACACAGCAAAATAGACACCGAGTCAACATTTTCTACATGTACAATTCAGTGGATTGATGGTGCAACCTCTTCTGTTGTTAGATGCCATCGAGTTGGGGCCAACTCATAGTGACCCTGTGCCAACAGAGCAAAACGCTGCCCGGTCCCGCGCCGGCCTCACAATGGTTCGCGCCGGAGCCCCTCGAGGCAGCCGCTGTGTCAGTCCATCTCATTGCGGGCCTTCCTTTTTTCCGCTACCCCCCCCCCCCCACCCACACACACACACTTTACAAAGCATGATGTCTTTCTGCAGGGACTGGTCTCTCCTGACCACGTGTCCAAAGTATGTAAGAGAAGTCTCCCCATCCACCGGTGAACTTCTTCCAAGACAGACCTGACAACTCTTGGCAACCATTAGCACCACGAAGCACCCTCCTTTTCTGAATGGTTCCTTCTCGATCAACATAAGCTCACCTTCCACTAAGTGTCCTCTGGAATCTTTGGAGTTGCTCTGTCAATTAGATTCCATGTAGATAGCTCTGGAAAGAGCCCAAAGTGAAAGGCAGACATTCTTTCCTGGTGAAGTTAAACTGTTGTTTGGTTTTAAGGAAACTCCAAGGCTTCTTTTTGGCTTACTGCTTAAAGATGATCTCAGGGTAATCATTTCGGGGATTCAATCAGAATGTGAAATTCTATTCTGTTTTTCCTCTTGGATCAGGATTCATCTATGGAATCTTTCAGTTCTTCGGGTCTCGTGGCCCAAAGAGGCGTTTGTTGATGGAGTCAGAGAGCCGCACAGTCTCTTCCCAGTCCTGGCTCTCCTTCCCTGGGTTTCAGCTGACTAGGGACTCACTGTTGGACCTTGAATTGCTGTTTACAGGAACTACTCGATAAGCTAGGAGGTAGAACAGAGCACAACATACAGTTTTAGGCCAATTAACCAGGATATCCCATAAAACCATAACTCTATGGTTTCCAAACCTAGGAACCACAGTCCAGGAGGCTTTTGATTGTACATAATAAGCAGCCTAAGAAAAGATTCTTAGTGGTTATCAGGGGCACAAGGGAGTGGGAAAAGGGTAGCAATGGTGATGGGAAAATTGCATTGATTAAGGGCAAGGATGCACAGCTGATCATTACAATTGCTGTCAATAAGCTATACACCTGTTAAAAAGTTAAAGAGACAAAACCTGAGTGATACATATACTTACTATAAATAAAAAAGGAATGGGCTTTTATGCAGTGCTTCAAGTTTGTTTGTTTTTAATGATTATATAAGTATTTGAACTATCTATTCTTTAGTCTGTTTGCTAAAAGAAATTAGATTTAGATGTACATTAAGAATTTGACCAATTCACCTAAATCTTCCCGTTTATAATCATAGAGTATTTCACAATATTCTCCAGTTGTCTCTTCAATCAATTCTTAGTCAGATCATCAGTTCATTGTGAATATTGTTTTTCAGTCTTCCCCAAAGTTTATCAGTCTTATTGATACTTTAAAATAGTTTTTACCTTTGTTAATACTGCATCTTTATTTACGGTTTCATTTATTTTTTTATAGATATATTTTATTTTTGAATTTATTATTAATTGGGAGTTAATACATATATCATTCCATAGTTAAATATGTCAAGCAGTATTATACAATTGCTACCACAATCAGTTTCCAAACTATAGATATAATAGGATTACAGAGTAGTTGCTCTTTATTTACTTTTTAAAAAAAATCATTTTATTAGGAGTTTGTTCTACTCTTATCACAATCCATGAATACATCCATTATGTCAAGCACATTTTTACATTTGTTGCCATCATTCTCAAAACATTTGCTTTCTACTTGAGTCCTTGGTATCAGCTCCTCATTTTCCCCTCCCTCTCCGCTCCCCCCCCTCCCTCATAAACCCTTTATAATTTACAAATTATTATTTTGTCATATCTTACACTGCCCGATGTCTCCGTTCACCCACTTTTCTGTGTCCATCCCCCAGGGAGGAGGTTATATGTAGAACCTTGTCATCAGTTCCCCCTTTCCACCCTACCCTCCCTCTACCCTCCC